CTACCTACCTACCTTTATCTACCTACCTACCTACATCTCTCTCTACCTACCTCTACCTGCCTACCTACCTTCATCTACCTACCTACCTTTATCTACCTACCTACCTACATCTCTCTCTACCTACCTCTACCTGCCTACCTACCTTCATCTACCTACCTACCTTTATCTACCTACCTACCTACCTATCTTTCTCTCCCTACCTCTATCTACCTACCCACCTACCTACATCTATCTATCTATCTATCTGTCTGTCTGTCTACCTACATCTACCTACCTACCTGTCTCTACCTACCTACCTACTTACCTACCTACATCTATCATCTACCTACCTACCTACCTACATCTATTTAACTACCTACCTACCTACCTACCTATCTCTCTCTCTCCCTACCTACCTACCTACATACCTTCATCTACCTCCATCTACCTACCTACGTATCAAAACATCCCAGGACACAAATCCTGGGAGCGATTTTCTTACCTTGGCCAGGCGGGCCCTTTTAATCAGGTCATTCAGTTTCCGGAGTGCCGCGTTCCTGGGGAGGCTCTGGATGTCGTGGAAGAGATCCTGCTCCTCGGCCTCGAAGAGTTTACGGTTATCCGGGATCAGCAGCGGGTGAGACCAGAAGGACCCAATGTAAACCCGGATGACTTCGGGGGTGTTGACGATCTTCCCCAGAGACCACATCAGGGCCCCGTAGACCCGCATGAGCTGCTGGGTCTCAATCTGGTCGGCCTTGTTGAGGACGACTCTCATCTTGTCCTCGTGGTTCTTCAGGGCTTTGATGACCTCCGAAAACTCGTCAGAGATGTCAAGCTTGTGGGCGTCGAAGAGGAGGATGATGCGGTCTACCCGCTCGGCGAACCACTCCAAGACGGCGGCAAAATCGTAGCCTGTCCAGGGGTGGGAGGGAGGAACATGAAAGAACCAGGCGTTGGGAGAGTTCTAGTTCTGCCTTAGACATGAAGCCAACTAGGTTTGACTTTGGGCTATTCCCACTCTCATAGGCCAGCCTACCTCACAGAGTAGTTATTGCTGGCCACGAGGGTATATTTGCCTTGTTTAATTACTGAAAACGCGATAAAGTCCGCATATAAACAGGGAAATTAAAAAAATTAAATAAACAATATAATAAAGTATTCATAATAAGTAATAAAATTAGAATGTTCTGATAATTCTATTTCATAAAGTGAGCATTTGCATCGGAATAGTCCTTTATTCTTCTAAACATGTAGTTTGTCTGTAGTGTTGTTATCCTTTTTAAGAATATAAGCCACCCCGCGTTCCCTAAGGTGGGCGGCCAAGAGATTTCATAAAAATAAAGTAAAAATAAATAAATAAAATAAATTAAAAATTAAATAAGAACAATGCAATAAGATTATATAAATAAAATAAAATAATGAATCAATTAAAAAAGTTAAATCAAATTAAAGTAAAAAAGGTAAATTATTAGATAGATTAAATTTAATAATTAAATTTAATAATTAAATGTAATAATTAAATTTAATAATTAAATTTAATAATTAAATGTAATAACTAAATTGCATAATTAAATTGCATAAATAAATTGCATAATAAAATTAAAATTAATTAAATAAAAGTACACAATTAAGTTAAATTACAATTAAATTTAAATAAATGAAATAAAGTAATCAAATAAAATTAATTAAATAAAAGTACACAATTAAGTTAAATTACAATTAA